TACAGGAGCAAATAAAAACTGAATATCTTGAATTCTATCAAGACTAAAAAGAAGATTCTTTTATCAAAAATAGGGAATATTTTTTTGCGCTAGATTTTTACTAAATTTTTATCATAAATTTTCTTTATCAGTAAGAAAATTGTGAAAATGTCCATTACTGAAATAAGCTATGGAAAAAATTAACGCAAACTAACTTTACGATAGTGTTCGACTGTAATCACAAATCGGTGTTGCTGTAGTAATCGTTCATTATGATATTGTTCCATGGTAAATATGAATATACTTTATATTCGTAAAATGACATTGCAATCGTATTCGATGATATAACTGACTTTAATATTACGGTAAACATAAATTACATGCTTATTTGATGATCATTTTTAGGTGTTATGAAAGGTAAGCAGCAAAATTAACTATTTCGGTACCTATGTATAAATAAAGTTATTATGTGTATTACTTTAAATTTGACATTATTTATCTATTTATGTTTTGATGCATATTGTATTAATTTTACAGGGTTATTTGTAGCACTGTAAATTGAACCTAAATATTGTCAGCTTATAATCTAGCGAGTTTTCAATTGGGCAAGACATACAATCCTTACTAATATTATAAATGCGAAAGTAACTCTGTCTGTCTGTGTAGTTTTCACGCTAAAAGTACTGAACCGATTTACATTAAATTAGTACACAGATACCCTAGAGCCCGAGGAAGGACATATACTACTTTTAAATGCAAAAAAGGGTTGTAAGGGGTCGAAATAGGGGTTGAAATGTTGTATGAAAGTTTCGTCATTGCTTGGGATTCACTCAAATGGTACCCAAAGTCACTATTCCATGCGGACGAAGTCGCGGGCACACGCTAGTTGATTATAAATTTACTATTTAATGGCGACAAATTAAACGCAAAAATTATCAATTTTTATTGTTATAATATGAAACAAATATTAAAACAAAAATTACTGAATTTAATTTTTATCTATATCTTCTTGTTGTTGTTCAGGTATAATATTGAGATCTGCATAATTTAAATTACTATAAAAACTGTGATAACATTTAGGGATGGCCTCACTTTCACACAAAGACTTCAGGTCATCAAACAGAGCCTTGGTGATAGGTAAAGGGTGGCTGTAAACATTTTTGAGTGTTTGTACATCAACCTGGCCAGGGACGGGTTTCCGTCCTCGTTTGGGTTTGTTTGGTTGAAGTTTTGTATCGAACTCGAAAGAATCATTGTCGAAGTCATACTTATACTGTAAAATTGTTGGTTTCAAATGAGAAACTCTCACCTCCATCAATTTCTCCATCAATCCACTGAATTTTTCGGCCTTGGGTGTCGTTTAACCAACTCTTGCCACTAATAAGATTCTGTAATTTTTCCTTCGAACAATATGGTAATAGCCGCTTACTCTAAAATGTTGACTTTTGAGATTTGGTAATAGGTTTTTGCGTTATTGATCGTGTAAATTTTTCACTTATGTTATACGTTGAACAAAAACATAAAGATCATTATTGAAGCGATAAATCCAAAAGTATTAATCGCCCGATCATAAAAAAAATTCAATGATTGTAATAGGGTGTGTAGATAACGAATATTTAATAAACCCGATTCTATCGTAATAGCGATTACCATAGTGTTCGTCGGGGACTGCGATATATACTTTTTTTTTTGTAAATACATACATATTATACATAGAAACACCCAGACCAAATCAAACATCAAATGTTCATGCACACAAATGTTTGACTTGAGCGGGAATCGAACCCGCGACCTTTGGAATAGCAGTCCGTTACGCAAACCACTACGCCATCCAGTCGTCGCCGTCAATTAATCACATGTGATTGCGATTTTATTCCAGCTCTATGAACTACTGACATTGTTATTGATTCATCTCTTTCCTGTGCACACGTGAGGAGCACATCTGCTCTTTACTTATACATGCTTATAAAGTCAGTTAGATTTGCCACGGAATAAAAAAAATAACTGAGAAGAGAACCTCAAGAAGAAAGTCTAACTTTTGAATTTGATTGAACAAAAACTATTGACAATGGTTTTTCGATTATAATTCGTTATGAGTCATTTATTCCTACGGTTATAGTTACTGCTACGCTTTGGAGGGTCGTACCTTAATGTTTTGTAGTCTATTAGCAGACCCGCAGAAATTCGTCTGCATCTCTCAAAGTAATAAATTTCCTCGTTTTCAGAACTTTTGTCGTTGATGTCGTTGGCTCCTATTGGTCGTAGCGTGATGTCGTATAGCCTATAGCCTTGGTCGATAACTGAGCTATCCAACACCTAAAATAATTGAAATTAGAAGTAGTAGTTCCCTAGATTAGGGAGTTTAATCAAACAGACAATCATACTCTTCAGTTTTATGATACGAGTATTAGTTTATAAGGTTTTTAAGGTAAATAGATAATCTATCTAATGAAAAATGATCTTCCAAATCTGACTGGTAGTTCGACACACTGGCGCAGATAATCAAACTGATAAAAAAACCTATTTTTTTATATCAGAAAATATTATAAAGAAGTCACCAATAAAGATGCAAGAATCAATGTCATGTGTAATAGGTAACATTTATAAGTGTTAGTGTGGCACGAATGTGTTTAATTTTTTCATAAAACAAACCATTTCAATTTCATCCCCACCACTTGGATAATTGGTGCTCCACCACTGTGCACTTTTTGCCTCGCACTACCAATCTGTGGAACAAGTTATCGCTAATGCGGTATTTCTGGAACGATACGACCTTCAAACCTTCAAGAAAAGAGCGTACTCCTTCCTCAAAGGCTGGCAACGCGCTTGTGACTCCTGAGTTGTAGGCGTTTATGGGCGGCGGTAGTCGCTTTCCATCAGGTGCATTCCATTGCTGATGACACACACAGAAATACTCAAGAGCCATCAAGATTCTTCATTGAAATGTTGCTAACGAAAGCTATTTGCGGCATCTATACAGTCATATAAAATGACGCGCCTGACTAATTGACCGATTCAGCAAAGCAGAACCTAAGAAGCCGTTGGGGCTACAAACTTGAAATTTTTGCAGCTGATGTTTTTTATGTTGTAAGCACAAGTAGGTTAAAATTAGGGGTTCTGGGTCACTTTGCTCTCGCTTCGCTCGGGCTTCGTGACGCGGAACCCCCAATTCGGATAGGGATTGGGGCTTCTGCATCACTTTGCACTCGCTCGAGCTTCGGGATGCAGAATCCCCAATTCGGATAGGGATTGGGGCTTCTGCATCACTTTGCTATCTATCCTACTGACGTACAATCCTACTGACTTGGATCTTGCGGTTGCATGCATCGTGATACATGACACATATGTTTAATATAGAATTGAGTTTCGCTATGCGATACCATACGGGCCAGAGATCTTTATTTTAAATTATATTTATATATTTACTTAGAAAAGGATTTTTAGAGATTTTACCCTTTTTAACCCTTCCCAGCAGTGGACTATTAAAGGCTGTTGATGATGACCCTTATGGTTGTAAAATAAGGAATAAACGGTTGTATTGAAGTTCATCATTTTAAAAGTTAGAAAAACAAAACAAGAAATAATAGGTTAGGGACATATTCAAAACACAAGTAATTCGTCAGGTCTATGCTATGCTTATGGGAATATATTATGATAATATACTATGCCGGTATTGTGACGTAGTTCAATTGTATATTAAAGGCAAAAACGATCGATATTTATGATGATTTATGATTTTTAGATTTTATTATACGCATACATCAGAAATAGTCGTTTTGTGACGTCGATTTGTGACGTCTGCGTATAAACGTCATGTAATGCGTTTGTGAGTATCACGTTCAGAAATTTTAAGCACAGCATAGTTTCTTAAACGTTTAATTAGTCTGATTCACACTCAAGCATAATTACGTTATCGCGTTAATAACGCTACGATAAAATTTACTTTTAAGTTCTAAGATTTGTTAACAGAATTAGTGAATCTCATAAATGTTTTAAAAAGGTATGATGTAAATACAACAAAACCAATGCAATTTGATTCATAATAAAAAAATCGTTGACAGTTGATACTCTATTAAAAGGAAATAATTATTTAAAATCTACATAGTTATTACTAGAATACAAAAAAAGGTTTTATATCCTCACCAATACCTATAAAGAGATCATTAATATTTATAACATACAATGTATCGATTTTAAATAAGTCCGGTTTGAATGACCCTTGGCCTCGCCGTGATGAGTCAAGATTACCATAATTTATTATTTTCGGATCATCTGTAATCTTCAACTTACTAGGTACTAGTATTAGGTATATATTGTAGCCTTGGAACAGTAAATATCCTGTTTAGTATTTAATTTATGGTTCAGAATGTTACCGAACTTTTTAATATTATTATTTGATTATACCTGTTGTTTCATATTTATTGATCTTCTATGTTTACTTTGTATCTTTATTTGATAGAAAGGCTAATATAAAATAGACGACTGGAGACTGTTTTAAACTTGACGTTTCTGCCTTTTCGTTTTTAATAAATTATTCTGTTATAGTCCGCATATATTTTCAGGTAAAAAGTAACTTTAAAAAGTAGTAATGATTTTTTTTGCGGATTTAACTATTTCAATAGAGATTTTATTACAAGGCAAGCGTGGTGTATTATCGCCGATTCCTTCTTATAAAAGAAAAGAGTAATTGAAAAGAAAAGAGAATAGATGGGTGATAGTTAACCAACCTTGTCTAGTAAAAAAATCTCATTGAAAAATTGCCATGTAAAAAAATCGCCCTGACATTTCATATTTGTCTTGTTCATTGCCATATTGTCGTATTACTATTATATATTGTTATTCGACCTTTTTAAATTTTATTAATTTATTTAATTCTTTCGACAACAGAAATTAGTCATTGTAGTTTGAGAAATTTGCAAAACTGTTGGGTTAGATTATAGCTATATACAGTCAAGTTATCTAGAAAGTCAATTAATTTTGCAAATACATTATTCAAACAAATTTGCTTGTTTCTGCTTCAGGTGGTGTCAGCGTTTAGTGACTCAAACTTCATCTTTAAGAATGACATAACTCCTGAAGAGGCTCAGAGTTACCTGAAGAACCTGCCTTTTACCGTGCCAGAGTTATCTGGCAAGACTGCCACCCTACCTTTAGTAAGTATCCATTTTCTTTTTCCTGTCTTTATGATTGGCTATATTACCATTGCTGCAGAATATCCTTTATGTGTGTGTGGACAAAAACTATGGAGTGTAGAGGCAAGGAGAGCCATATCTGTGAATGAAAGTTTCCGTAAAAATGCGTTCAATAAGGGTGGCGCTGCGGTAGCCAAGGATTTTTTTTATCTATTTTACTTCTCGTTACAGGTTAACCCTAACGTGACAGTGTGGTCCTTAATTACTATAACATATCATAAATATAGTTTCTTTTGTGAATTCATTAGGAGAATAAGGCAAAATGACAATATTTTGTGCTACCTTGTTTAATAAATAAGGTAAATCATAGGATATTTTTTTATTGGCTTAAATAATAATTAGACACTGTGTACTAGACTGCAAAAATAATCAATGAGTTTTACAGACAATAAATAAACTTGTAATAACTTGCAATTAATAAAAGTATTACAATATTGTTTTTTTACCTCAGCACACTTAACTCCGTCTATAGCAGCTATGTTTATATTATAGTTTTCGTACGCCAGCGACCTCTATTTTCTGTATATAGTGGGCAAGTTTCCCCCCTTAAGAGACCTCCTTGCTTCTACACGCTAACAAAAACGAATAAATGACCAAAGATATTAAATAACCTATTTGTTACTAGCACTAAAAGCTCCTTATTTCATAGTAATCAATAAATAAAATTAACAAAACAAAAAAAAAAGTTTCGTAATAAAACATTGCAAACGTATTGTGTGCAAATGAACATCGTAGGGAACATTGATAAGGTTTTACAAATCGTGGTTTTCCCTCAAGTTGTGTTTTCATTTATAATTTATTTTTCATTTTAATTTTTACTCTATTTGTTTTTTACACACTTACGATAGGTATTAAGTACATACTTTTGGCTGATCCAAGCAGCCTCTAACGATGGCTAGTGCATCCTATATACTTGTCATAATAAATGTATTGTAAGAGTCTTTTATATTTCCACAAAACAATTAAAAGGATGTCTTTATCTATATTTTCTAACACTACATCTTTGACTGTTGCTGTAAGTTAAAAGTAAAACATTCGTGTTGCAGGTTCGTTACGATGACCCTAGGTTTCGTTCCGCCGACGCTGGCCCAACCCTCGGCCACTACTGGAAGAATGGAAAGGAGATCGAAAATACTGACGACTATGTTGAAGATGTAAGTTCCTTCTTTTCTTTTTAATAATACGATTAGAAGATTAGAAGGAAACCAGTCAAACGGAAGGTGGATGGAAAGTTAGCAACTCACCGAGAAGACATTTTGGATAGACTTGATGCGAAAGGACCTTTTCGGATCCAGTCTGTTCAAAATGTCTTATTTGTATACCGGGCTATAACATACAGTGGGATATGTCTAAGGCCAGTAGTGGAATACAATAGACACATTGATTGATAGAAGAAAGACTTAGAACTGAAAGTAGTTTTCGGACATATCACGATAAAGCGTCTTAATATTACGTGAATGAAATTAATATTAGTATGCTTATCGCGGTTTTTAATATGGTAGAGCTCTTAAACAGGTCAGGATGGTCAGGTCGCCTTACCAGGATTAAGTATGTCAATATTGCCACACTACGAGACCGCACGTTCAAGAATGCCTTGCGTCGAAAGATCCATCCCCGCGCGTTGCTCAAGGCCTCCTCACTGTTTTTATTTCTTAAAGTAATTGAGATCCTATGACTGCAAAGGAGCAGATGGGTCAATTGATGTTGAGTGATTAAAGCCGCCCATAAATACCTGTAACTAAGGAGTCTTGAGTGCATCGTCGCCTTTTGAACCCTCCCCGACAAATTCAGTGGGGGAGAGGTTTGAGCTCCAATATCCTCACTCACTCACAAAGTAATATCCAGTGAAAACTCTTATTATCATCGAATGAAATTGTAAATCACTATAAATTTGCAATGAGAGTGGTCTTATCTTTATGAACTGTTATAAGGATCAATTTTATGGTTTTCTAGGTTTACAACGCGGCCCAGTACCACGGTCAGGACGGCCTAGGGCAGTACGCGTACGGCTATAAAACCCCCGAGTCATCAAAGGTTGAGAACCGCGAAGGATCCGGAGTAGTATCTGGATCATACGTATATGAGTTGCCTAACCACGAACTTGTCAAGGTAAATGTAATTTTAAGTAATAATTAATAATAGTAATAGTCTCTTAATAAGGAAAGTTTTAGGTTATAGTTTATACGGAAAATAAGGATTTTAACTGACAAAATAGTACAATGTAAAACGAATGCAAGCATGTAAGATCAGTTGCCTACAAAATTATAAGATATTTCATCGCTTATTAATGAACCTTTGGTGTGTTATAAGTATGACACACCACACGGTCATGACAATTTTTAAGTAAATTGGTAGATAATGTATAACTTTAAAAAAGCAAATTCCTCATTTATTAATTAACAAACATATGATAAAAATCAGTCAAAATCAGGACCTTCCATGCTTTTTCTAGCCGATCCATGCTTATGTAAATCAGACGTGTGATAGAGAGATTGTTTAAACCGATTTCAAAAATTATACCAATGGGAAGCTATATTATCAGCGAATAGCATAGACTAATTTTGCCGAGAGCCGCGGGCAAAAGCTGGTTTAGAATAAAACTAAATTTAAATGGGTTAAAGTCCGTGTGGTGACGGATTAAGAATACAGAGTGTCACCACCCCTTTTTTTTTTTTTTCCGTGCGGAAATCCCCTCGGATACCACCTATCGGTGGCATGTCGGACTCGAACCGACTAAAACCGTACGCCGTCTTGGGTACTAATAGCCGGGGAAGTGTCACCACCCCTATTCATCCCGTGGGTGTCGTACTAAGGGAGCAAACTACGCAGGACAACAGCACTGCAGAGAGAAGGAAAACTTGACACAAACCCTATACCAACCCCTCTGGCCAGCGTGGTATAATAGGCCAAAACCTCCTTTCTAAGGAGAGGTTTATGTCCAGCAGTGGACGATTAAAGGCTGTTGATGATGATAAATTTTTATTCAAATCTTTACTAATAATTACAGGTCAAATACTACGCTGACAGCGAAGGCTTCCACCAAGAAGATAACCTTCCAAAGGTAGAGTTGAAACCAGCTGAAGAGACACCAGAACTTAGAGAGGCTCGCCTTGCTTTCGAGAAGGCATGGAAAGAAGCTGCAGAGGCCAACCAGAAACAACCTGTTGCTCCGTGAGTGTCGAAGTACCCTTTTATCAACTTCTTCTTCCTTTTTCCCAAACTAGGTTGGGGTCGGCTTTAAGTCTACTACGTTATGGCTGACTTCGATCAGACCTCCACAACCCAAGTACTAGGCGATATCAAAGTTCTGTAGATAGACTGTTGTCGAACTGTTTAGGGTTGAAACTACCTGTAACAATTGCCGCAGATGTTCCTATGACTCAAGGAGTTACCGGTGCCGGTGCTTTGCGATTAGTCAGCACCGAACTCTGCACCAATCGCAATGCCAAGCATGCTCGTCGTCGAGAACGAGTTGATGTGAAATAAACTCACACTTAGCGCTCAAAGTATTTGTCCCCTTGATTGTAAATGACTTCCTCCCTCACGTGACCTGTCTGCTGGAATACCCCACAAAAATAATTAATCAAAAAATCTACTTAAACAATTTTGAATGACGGGTCCGTTAATTTTATATCTTTTATCCAGTTACTACGAACCTTCATACCAAGGCCAAGCTTCTGAGGCAAGACCTGTAGCTGTCGCTTCTCCAGACCAATCCCGTGAAGCCAAGGCATACGGTCAAGGAAACTACCAACAGCCGCAATATCAGCAACAGCAACAGTACGGTCAGCAACAACAGTACGGTCAGCAACAACAGTATGGCCAACAGGGGCTGTATGGTCAGCAACAACAACAACAACAGCAACAATTTAATAAACAGAAGTTCGTAGGGAAATCAAATGATGAAGAGAAGTATGAAGAACCGGACCCTACTGTAAGTATATGAAACTGTCTTATCAGGACTAAAAGAAAGAGGTTATTAATTATATTTTTGCTCGATGAAGGTCAATTACGTTCTATTTTAGGGTTCCGTATCTCAAAAGGTAAAAAAGGAACCCTTATAAGATCACTTACCGAAAGTACCCTATAGGTTTTGGGTCGAAAACCTATATGGTAGTTCCGGTTGACCTAGAATCACGAAATTTGGCAAAAAGAAACGTCTTACAGCACAAATAAAGAAATAATTCCAAAAAATTAAAGAAGTTGAAAATTAAGATGAATTTTGGTACTTACAAATTTTCGCGAAAATCTACGTAAAATCTGGGTAGGTACGGTACCCTCGGCGCACGAGGGTTCCGTTCATAGATTATTTAACACTTTAACATAGCACTTATTAATTATATATTGGTAATTCCTTAGACACAAGCCAAAAATCATGCCTTCTTTAGAGAGATTTATATGACTAAGTATGACCATGTAGCTAGCAAAACATTAGCACTCAATGTCTTTTTTTTTTTAAAGAATAAGTAACGGACACTCATACTTACATTGTAAAATAAATTAAAAATGAACTGTTGTAAACTCTTCAATTTTCTTTTCTCCAGGGCCCCCCTCACGGTTTCTTCTACAGCTTCAACTACCCAGTCCCCATAATCGTACCCAAGAATGAGCAGAGTGAGAACCCACACTACCCAGTAGATCACGACACTGTTGGACTCGGCAAACATTATTAATACCAACGTTAATATTCTAGGATAGAAATATGTTTTTATTTTATATTGGCAACATTCATCAATAATTTCTTTATTACACAGTTAATCGATATAAATTTTTCGATGTAATTTAAAATAAAAGTTTTATTAGTTGTAGTTTTTACACAAAGGTTTTTTAACTGCGGCAATAGAACATGTTTTTATTCAAAAAGTAATATCAAAAACTACTTTACTTGCAAATTATATTTTCTAAACCTCATCTATTCATATGTAGATTTATAAAATAGCAGTTTCTAAACGACTAACACTGAAAGTAGGTTTATTCGCTATTTTAAGTGTCCTCTATGGAAAATTGCAACTAGTACCCAACTTTCTAACACAGTATTTCTGTTTTCTACTATTGAAAAGGTTCCCAATTAACACAGCCATAACAGAATAGGTTTATGACTGCCATAGCGAGCAGATACTCTAATGAGGTAGTTTGTATGACATTGTGAAGTAATTAAACTAAATATTTTGTTCATGCTTAGGATATAGTTTGTCCTACTATTGAGTTGTCATTTATGGAGCGATTTAAAAACGTATTTCGCTCCATTATTGACAACTTTGCCTTTTTAGTCTGTAACAACGTGATCGATACATTTTGTATCGTGTTACAAGTGATTGTGTTTATTTTAGGTTATTTTCTTTTGTAACATACCGTGCCTTAAAACTGTTTTGAAGTTGTCCAATTTATATAATATCCTGGTCGAAGTTTGAAAGTGTAACATGTTTAGGATCATTTTTGTGATTTGTAAATTGTTGGTCAGTTACATAAAGTGAAGTAACTTTGCTTACTTAAGTTAAACTCTTGAACTCGGCCTTGCTAAAGTTACAATTGTTACCATAACGCCATTTAGTGTAATGTAAAAATATGTTATTTAAGTTAAATACGACAATAAAACATTTTGTGATTCAATTTTGTTGTTATTATACCTTTTATCAGCATTCTGCTTTTGTGAAAAATTTGTATTTAATACAATAATGCTAACATATGACAGAAAAACAATAATTATTACAGATAATTATTGTTTTTTAATACAAATCTATCTTAAAGCACAAATAAATAAAAGAATAGACAAAAAATTGACTAAAAATACTTGAGTAGTTATAATGCATGTAGACATGGCCTTATTATTTTATTTATTATTAAGCGCAGAGAATTCTTTGTCCCTCCACATTTTAAAGAAGTGTGAATTTGGAAAGCATAACGCTAAATTTTTTGTGGTGTCGTGTTCGTTCCATCTGTCGAGGTACAAAATCTACATAATGATACTAGTGCATAGTGATACTAGAAAAATTAAACAAACAAAACTTTAAACTAAATTATGTTCGAAATTCAAACATCTGGATATCTCTGGTATTATTTAATACAAACATTATACATTGAACTATAAATTAATTCAAAATGCATTCAAAAAATATGCTAACACTACCATAATAATTCATAAACGCAAGATCCAAATTAGAATAAAAGATTTCTAGCAAACTGTAAATAGGCGTAATTTTTTTTAATATTTAATTAAATGATCAGTCTTCTATCTGTATAATATGTTCCTTATTCCATTTCTAAATTTAAATCTGTGTCATCATTGGTGCAGGTAAAACTAAAATTGGTAAAGGGCCTTTACTTGACAATCTCATAGAGTTTTCAGGCTTTTGGCCCGGTCTACCGAACCATCCAGGTAACAGAGTAGAAATCCAGTTAATAGTATCAGGTACGTTTATCTCTATAGGCAGGAAGGGTATGAGAGAGATGATGGAGCCGATTGAGAATCTTGGATCATTCGGCATAAACATCATTGCTTGTTTAGAATCAGTTTCTTCTGAATTGTAATCAGCATCCAGTATCACTGCATCTTTCTTTTCGTCTATATGCCCTGTATTGGCTTTCAGTTTATTTCTGTTTTCTTCTTCATTTAGCTTGGTATATCTATCATCAATTTCTGCGTTCGGAGCTAAGTTTGGTAGGAGAAGTATTATTGGTTGTTGAGGATACCTGAAATATATATTTCTGTTCAGAAATACAAAAGGAGGTTTTTTTTTTATCCATTATTACCGATATACGGTTTTAATTTTGGGTTATTTAAATAATGAGAAAAATATTTTTTTACAAATTTCGACTGGACAGTGGTTAGCGAACCTGACTGCTGAACTAGAGGTCGTGGGTTCTATTCCCACCCAAGACAAAAATTGTGTAATGATATACTACAATGATACACGTTAATTTGTTCTGTGTCTGACTGTATTTTATCTATAATACAAATATATTATGTACTTAGTAAATAGTTTTAAAGCTGAGAATTTACTGAATAGCCAGTAACCACCTCATTCTAAATTTAAAATGGCATTCGCTGATCACTGGTCATAAATAATTCTAATTTTGCCAAACGAGTTGAAAAGATACGATTTTTTAATTAAAACTTAAATTATATATTTATGCTAAACTTCTCGGACACTTTTAAACGGTCGAAAATATTAATTAAAAAATATAATATACTTACATAAATGGAGGTTGAAAATTATTTGCCGCCTGTCTAAAAAACGGGTTTTGTATCTGTAACAGCGGGTTTTGTTGCTGCATCCCGTATTGCAGTGGCATAAGCTGCATCCTCATTGGTACACTGTGTATTGAAGTAACATGAAGGCACAACACTAGAACCAAATTGTAATTCATTTTCCACTGTAACACTCAGTTCCAAAACTTTCGTCTTTTCACTACAAACTTTTGTTTTTTTTTACTGTTGCAATAATATGTTCCAAAAAGGTCTTTCAGCCAACTATATTCACATCATTTACTTTCTGGTTTAGAGAATAAAAGAGTAATTTAGTTTAGTAATTTTCATGCGTTTAAAAAAAAAATCGAATACGAATTCGAATTAATGAAATAAAATTAGAATTGTATCAACTATTTCAAACAAATGAATAAGTTCGCATTTTAAAAATTGCCGCCAATAATAAAAAGTGACAGTTTTTTTTTTTTATTATTTAGCACTATGAACGCGGTATGCCGCCTGACTGCAAGGAAGTGTATGTCCGTATTTTACGTTCTGCACTGTGTTATTATTCATGTCGGGTGACAATTGACCCACTGGCTGAGGCCTGACCTTTTGTGATACATTGCTTTCTTTTTGAGGTCTAATTGTTTCTAGACATAATTATAAATATCATATTCAACTTTCTTTGTCCTGAATTTTGCAAACTTTACAAGATCGGTTTAAAAAATCGACCAAAATATATGAAAACATTGTTATTCAATGAGTAAATTGTCAGTTAGTCTTTTGTAGTCCTCTTTAGGTCCTTGAAAGCTTGAAGTCAATAAAGTTTCTTCCTAAATACACTGATTAAAATCTTTGTAAACAGAAGTGTTTTTCACTTCAGGATTAAAAAAAAGATATATATTATCAGAATCCTCAGTAAAGTGTCATAATACGAGTAACTTTTTAATTGGTGAATATCGTTACTGGGATGGATTTTTCGATGTTTGATTAAGTTTAACAATATTCTAACAGTCATACATAGAGTTTTAACCACAGATAAAAAATCGTGCGTTTGTTAGAAAACGAAAACAAGGTTATCGTTTCCAGGTACCAATATTAAGGGGTGCGTGGTCCGGAACCTCCTTGTGGTGCACCCTGGGCAACGGGGACGGCAGCGCCTCTCTCCCTAGGTGGGGGAGGCGCTGCCGCCTGCGGCCAATTCCGGCCGAGGTGGGAACGGCCCGTCAAGGGCTGTTCGGAGGGCTGCTTTCCGCATGTCCCTCTGTTTGGCAGAGGGCATAGGGGAGAGCGGGCTGGGGGCGGACGGGTCCACTGCCGCTGGCTCTGTCCAGAGGTGGGGGACACTGGTCTGACGCAGACCACCGTCCGGCCATGTCGTAATCCTGACTGGCAACGGTCAGGAATGACGGCTCTTCGAGGGCTACGAGGAAGGCAACCTCTATAAAAAACCTTGGGGCGGACGGACCCGGTCTGGTGCAGACCCCGTCCGGCCCAGCCGTAATCCTGAATGGACAGGACCGGTGGATCTTCGGATCCGCGAGGACGTAAACCTCTATAAAAAATGCTCTAAGCCCACGTTCTGACGCCTGGCAAGGGGCTGAGTCGCTGGAGGGAGTCCAGTGCCGAAGGCGTCCCCGTCGAAGGACGTTAAACTAACTTTATGACATGGGCCCAAAGATTTTTAAATCTACCCAGGAGGGTACCAGACGCACTGCGTCTGGAGAATCCCTCCCGGAGCCAGACGGCTCCGGCAGCTCCCAAACGTACTCTGGGGGGAGCAACCTCTGTCTAACCTGCCCGTCGCCGAGCAGTAAATCCGGCACCCAAAAAAACGCGGAGGACGCAAAAAACCTGGAGGTAGTGTCGAACACCGACACTGCCTCAGAGATGAGCGAAGCGAGTACCCCGATGGTCTCAGCTGCGGAGCAGCACCAGAAGGGTACTCCAAAGCGCAAAAGGCGCTCGCTTCGCCTTGGCCTGAAGAGGCAATTGGAGTCGGCCTCGAGCGATGAGGCCTCGGCTCCCAAAGTCGGCACAAGCCGCAGAGGCGCTCGCGGCGGAGGCCGACTCCCTAGGGTTGCCCAGGAGCAGAAGAAGGAGCCCCTACGCTCCTACGAAGCTCCCGTGAAGAGGGTCGCGTCCGAGAGGTCGATAGACGTGACCGAGGTGAGGAGCGAGAAGGAGGGTGGCAAAACCGGCAACCCCGTCGACCGGATTGAGGAGGCAATCGGCCAGGCCGATTGCTTGCTTCGGACGTCCGGGTTGGCCGGGGGCCCCCAACAGGAGGCCCTGGTAGCGGTAGTGCGCTCCATAATTGAGGCGGGCAGACTCCTCGTGGCCGAGAGCAAGGCCCACGCTAGGGAGAGAGCCCGCCTCGAGGCGGATCTCGCACAGGCTCGTGCTCACGCTAGTGCCACACCAGCGCCTTCGGCACCGTTGGCGCTGTCCGCCCCGGAGCCGGAGCCGAGCTTAGTCCGACTCATGGCGGAGATGGAGGAGCGGATAATGAGGCGCATCTCCGCTGTAGAGAGCGCCCGTTGTCGCCCACCTCTGGCTCCGCCAAAGGCGACATATGCGGCCGCTGCCAAGGCGGGCCTAACAGCCCAGCCAGCAGCTAGGGTGGCTGGGCCGTCATCAGCGCCCCCGCCCCAGAAGGCCGGAAAGGGCAAAGGAAGGGGGAAGGCGGCCCCAACCCAAGCCCCAGTCTCGGCCCCGGCTGACACCGCACAGCGCTCGTTGGAGCGGGGCTGGACGGTGGCCGGGGACAACAAAAAGAGGCGGAAGGCCGCCAAAAAAGCGGCCAAGAAGGCGAGGAGGGACGCCGCCGCCGCCGCGAAGGGAGCGCCGAGGAAGCTCCGCGCCCCTCGCTCCTCGGCCGTCGTTATCACTTTGACGGCGGAGGCAGCGGAGAGGGGCGTGGGGTACGCCGAGGTCTTGACGAAAGTCAAGGCCAACGTGGACCTCAAAGCCCTCGAGATTCCGGGCGTCCGGTGTAAAAACACACGGACGGGAGCCCGGCTCCTCGAGGTCGCCGGCGCTACCAGTGGCCCCAAAGCCGACGCCCTAGCGGCTAAGCTGAGGGAGTCACTGGATGCAGCTGACGTCCGAGTGTCCAGACCCACTAAATGCGCAGAAGTTCGCATTACGGGCCTGGACGACTCTGTCACGGCGGACGAGCTCAGACTCGCCGTGGCGGAGACGGGAAGCTGCCCTCTGGACAGCGTGAAGGCCGGAGCAATACGCTTCGGCCCCGGTGGACAGGGGGCAGCGGTTGTCAGCTGCCCCATCGCGGCGGCCCAGAAGGTCGCCGATGGACGGAGCCTCCTGGTCGGAGGTTTCCTGAGGGCGCAGGCACGGCTCCTGCAGGCCCGACCGGCAAGGTGCTTCAGGTGCCTGTCGGTGGGTCACGTAGGGGTGCACTGCACGGCGGAGGCCACCGTAGGTGACCGATGCTTCCGCTGTGGCCAGCCCGGTCACAAGGCGGGTGGCTGCAACGCTCCGCTGCGTTGCTTTAGGTGCGCAGCGGGGGGCAAGCCTGCCGACCACCGGGTTGGTGGTAAGGCCTGTGCTCTATCGCGACCGAAGCCGGGAGGCCGACCTTCCGCCTCCGAGCCGCTGATCCAGACGGAGAGTGCCGCTGGACAGCCGCAAAGTTCGCTGCGGGATGCGGGGATGGAAGTCCAGTGATGGATCCACATCTCCGCATCCTCCAGGTGAACGTAGGCCACGGTGCCGATGCTCAGGATCTTCTGCTCCAGAGCATGGCACAGTGGTCCATCAACATCGCCGCTATCGCCGAGCCATATGTCCATCGGTTTCTCGGGCCTGCCTGGGAGACCGACTTGGACGGCACGGCGGCCCTGGTGCACGGTACCGCAGCCGGCACTCCACCTCTTGCAGTAGTTGCAAGGGGACGGGGCTGTGTAGCGGCGATAGTTGGAGATATAGCGGTCGTGGCCGCTTATTTCACGCCGAACCGAAACCTAACTGAGTACGAGCAATGGCTCGCTCAGCTGGCCGTCGTCGTCGATGCCTGTCGCCCCCACCCGGTTCTTGTGCTGGGGGACTTCAACGCCTGGTCGCAGGCTTGGGGTTCCCTGCGCACGAACCCGAGGGGCAGGGCATTGGAGAACTGGGCTGAAAGATTCGGCCTAGTTCTCCTAAACCGGGGGGCCGTGGCCACGTTCGTGACGGCGAGGGGTAGTTCGATCGTGGACATCTCGTTCGCGTGCCCCTCGCTAGCGCGTCGTGTCCAAGGCTGGCGCGTCGTTGTCGGGGAGGAGACAGGTTCGGATCACCGATATATTCGGTTTGACGTCTCCGCCCCTGCAGATGGCGCGCCGGTCAGACCGGCACCACCTGAACCACGTTGGGCGCTCAAGCGCTTAGATCGCGACCTCCTCCTGGAAGCCGCCATCGTACAGGCCTGGGCTCCTGCGCCGGACAGGCCTGTCGACGTCGATGCTGAGGCACAGTGGTTCCGGGAGGCCATGACCCGCGTCTGCGATGCGGCGATGCCTAGGGCTCAGCCCAATACTGCAAGGCGCCAGGTCTACTGGTGGTCGCCGGAGATCGCACGGCTGCGTCAAGCCTGCGTGACCGCGCGCCGCCAGTGGTCCAGGTTCCGCAGGAGGCGTCGCCGCCCCGAAGATGCGGCAGCGAGAGAGGCGGAGCTGTTAGCGGGTTACAGGGTTGCCAAGAGGACCCTTCAGGCAGCGATAAAGCGGGCCAAGAGCGAGGCCCGCCGCGAGATGCTGGAGACACTGGAGCGGGATCCGTGGGGACGCCCCTACCGTATGGTTAGGGGCAAGATGCGCCCATGGGCCCCGCCGCTCACACGGTGTCTTCAGCCAGAGCTGCTTGAGAGGGTCGTTGGCTCCCTGTTCCCAACGCGAGTGGTGGAGCATACTCCGCCACAGATGGCTCCGCCTCCGGCGCTTGAGGCGCCTAACGTGGATGACGACGACGTGCCTGAGGTCACTGGGGTGGAACTAAGGGTGGCGGTGTTACGGCTTAAAGCCAAAAACACCGCCCCGGGACCCGATGGCATTCCTGGCCGAGCGTGGGTCCTGGCCTTAGTCGACGAGGCTCTCGAGCCCCGACTGCGAGGGTTCTTCAGCGCATGCCTCGAGCGGGGCCAGTTTCCGAAATTGTGGAGGACGGGGAAACTGGTCCT